TCAACAGAGGCAGCAGCAGGAGCCTGCTCGGAACTGCAGGGCCGGACTGGCTTGGCTCCTGCCATGTTCTGCATCCTGGTGTTGCAGTTGGGAACTGCATGGCGTGGCATGGTATGGAGCTGGCCTGGCCAGGCACCTCCCAGCAGCATGTGGTTCCCGGCTGCAACACCGGGACACAGAATGCAGCATGAGCTGGCCGAGCCCCACAGTTCCCATCCGGCGGCTGCTGCCACTGGCCCTGACCTTCAGGGCCCCACTCCCACCTGCTGCCACTTCTCCCCACCCCAGAGCCTGAGGCTGCCCCCGCTGCCCTTCCCCTCCTTCCCTGCCCACCACCACCAACCACTACTTTAGCTGCAGGGCCGGGACCGCATGGTTGGCAGCTGGCCCAGGATGGCTCCTGCTGCACTGGCAATCCTCCTCCCCGCCTGTTCTTACCCAAGTTCCCTTCTCAGGTTGGGTGGGGTAGGCGGGGACAGGACCCTCCACTAGGAGGGAAGCTTCCGTCTGGCATTGGGGGTGGGGGGTGGGGCTGGCAGGCCTTGCTGCTGCTGGGTCCTGCTGCTGCCTTCTCTTGGATCCTGTTGCTGCTGGCTCCTGTCATCTTTGACAAGCAGCCAGGGGCAGATAAATTTTTTAATTTTTAGGCGCCCCACAGGCTGGATAGAATGGCCTGGCAGGCCGGATCCAGCCCCCAGCCTGTATTTTGCCCACCCCTGCTGTACATTGTTCTGCTATGTGCAAGGCATGTACATTGTTCACTTTCATCTAAGGTTGGGTATTTGACCAATCAAATAAAGTTGGGTCAATTGACTGGTTAAATATTGGTTAAAAATCATAAAAAATTGCCAACAGGTCCAAATAATACACAGAAAAGGCACTCATTTTCCATTAAGAAAACTGTCAAAAAATTTTAAAAAACATATTACTGTCAAGAAAACTATAAAATAATGTAGTTTTTAAAAATAAAATTACTATAATCTTTGACCAGTCAAAAAATATGCAGCCAATTGACTAGTCAATTGACAATATTTAACCAGTCAATTGACCAGTTTACTAACCCTACTTTCATCTTCAAGATTATCGTGAGCATTCTACATACAATTTAATTACTGTCAAAGGAGAAGCTTACAAACCACTGATGTGGCTCACCGCAAAGTTCACTAGTGCTTAAAGCAAATGCCTGGTCAACTATAATTTCAAAGTAGTGGAAAGAAAGCTCCATGAGCAAATGGCATGACTAAGTTCATGAGAATTTGGGGGGGAAGAGATACGTGATGGAAGAACACAGTGTGTTTTATGTTTTCGGACATCGACGTCTTGTAATTAGAAAAAGGTTGAGAATTTAAGTGTGCTTTTCAAGGAGGAAAGATCATACTGTATGATTTCCACAAAAACACAGAGCAAGCTATGATATGCTTGTGATGCAGTGCATGGATACAGAACAATTAACATTTAAGATAGGAAGAAGCCAACGCAGAGGAAGAAAGGTCTATAAACCTTTCAGTCTACAGCTGGTATCCCATAGCATAGAAGATATTGCTGAAAAGTCATCAAATTATTTTTAACAAAATTCACAAAAGCTGAGAGAAACACCAGGTCAGTAACAAGAGAAAGAGTCAGATAAGCAATTATCTATGGAGGACAGCCTTTAAGGGAGTATCTCCATTTGTGCACATGCTAGAGACAAGCCCAGAAGCAAGGCCAGCTGGAATGTGGACTAGATCATACCCAAGATAGCTGAACAAAAACAACGGTTCCGTGTAAAAGAAGAAAACCCAGAATTACTATCAAGGTATGGAACTCAGAGGGCAAGACACAAGAAAATATTTACTTAAGAGTACTTGGGACATTCAGTTAGACACCATTCGTTTGACAGGAAACAACAGCTTTAGCAGCCACAAATTCAGTAATATTTCTGCCTAACCTAGGTCCAACAAATCAGCCCAACACACTGTACCAGAGCTGTACCAAGACAAGAAAGACACACTAGTACGATGAGAATTTACAATGGTTATGGATGTGTGAAAGCAAAATGTAAGCATAAATACAAGCTAACAGCACAGACTGGAAAATCTCACAAAAAGACAGCACACAGGTACAAAGAAAGAAAACAGAAAAGGCTCATCCTGAAATAATGGCTTTAAAGTATTCTAAAAGCTCAATGGTTAAAAATTAGGGGTGCGCCAATAGAGATTTTCTGGGCCGATAGTGATGGCCAGTTTTTAACGAGCCATATCAGCTGATACTGATCTGATTCTGATATGCAGCCAGGCAGCATGGAGAGTGGCATCCAGCTGGTAAGTCTGTTGTGGGGGAAGGGGAGTAGGGGGAGGGCAGATCAAGGCCCCCACAGTGAGGGAGGGAGTGGGGCTTGGGCAGATGCTGCACAGCTGGGATGGAGCAGGGGACAGAGCCATGAGAGGCTCATTTAGGGAGGGCGGGGGTGGAGCAGGTCCTACCACTGCACGCACCCTAGGAGGACATGGCTGGGGTGCCCCCAGATGTGTGTGGGGCAAAGGCAGGCTGCCACTGTGGGCTGAGGCTGGAACGGTGCTGGGCTCTTTCTGGCGGGGGGATGGGCTGAGCAGTGCTCAGGGTGGGTGGCAGTGGCAGCAGCTGCAGCCACCCCAAAATTCGCCATAGCCTCCCTCCCAGTGCTGCCACCACCCGCCCTGAGCGCAGCCCGCCCAGCCCAGTGCCAGGAAGAGCCGAGCATCATCTTGGCCCCAGCCTGCAGCTGCAGCCCACCCATGCCCCGCACACTAATCTGGGGGCACACACCTACCATGCCCTCCCGGGGTGCACGCAGTGGCAGGAGCTGCCCCCCGAATGAGTCACTTGGAACTGTCCCCTGCTCCAGCCCAGCTGTGCAGCACCTGCCCCAGCCCCACTCCCTCATTGTGCCATTCAACAGAAGATATTCCATCCAGTCAATTCAAGACTAAAAAACACACCAGATTGTTACAATACATACCCAAGTGCAGCACAAATGCAAACTGTGACTGGTGACTCATAAATATAGTTACATCTGGTGGGTTTAGAACTGGCTTCTTTTCCTTGATCAGCCAGTAGTATACTAGACTTTAACTGGGTGCTTCAATTATATACATCATAACCCTGAAATGATCATTTTCAAGATAACAGGAACTTTTTCACAGTTATACAAACTAGAAAGAAGCAGTGGTGTTGACACACAATAAAAAGCAGTCACTGGACAGAGGTTCAAAATAAGCTCACTAGGCTGGTAATACTGAACATGGATCTGCCAAAACAAAAATTTCCTGCTCCACCAGTCACCCCACTTGTACATCTCAGAAAACCCAATGAGTATACAAGAAGCTGCCATGCTTGGGACCTCACATTTTCCTCCAAGAGCCAGAACTGGCAACTGTATCTATGACCATCATTTGTTTTCATTAGAGAGCACAAACAATGGGTTTCCATGCCTCTCTCCAGTTTTACATATGCCTCTAAAACAGCAGTTCCCAATCTGTGGTACAGGTGCCATCAGTGGTACACGTTAACAGATTTATTATAATTACTTTATATGACAAAGATTTGCTGGTAGTACTTAAGGTTGTACCATTTTAAATTGGTGGTGTGAGAAAGTCAGAGTTTTGGAACCACTGCTCTAGAGCATATTCCTCCTCCTACTCTGAACACTGAGTCAGTGGGTGCATCTACACGACACTATGTCACCGTAGCAATAAGCTATGTCACTATAGCTCATCACTACAGTGACGTAGCATCTAAAAATAACCATGCACCACTGGGACTGCGATGCATCGGTGAGTATTGCGCAGTACCAAATGCACAGTCAGGGATACGTGTAGATGTGCCCGTGCTTCCATCTTCTCCATTTGTATTCTGTGAAAAAAAATATGAACAGAAGTTGATTAACAAGTAACTTCCAATGCACCAAGTTTGCTTTACTGGAGGGCCACAACCTTTCCAGCAACCCAGAGCAGTAACTTCAGTTCCAAATTGTGAATCTTCTCCACAGTCATGATCTGTCTGACTGTGTTTCATACACTGCTGAATTTAGCTCAGTAGAGATCCACAAACTGCATACCTTCAGCATGAAACTGTCCTTCAGCAAAGACAAATCCACAGATGAGAACAAGCAATGGTTACCATTCACTGGAAAGATGGCTTAAGCTTACTTACCAGACTCCAATAGTTACATCCTCCTCTGGCTGCAGATAATAATTACAGGTGTGATTTAAACCTTGATCCTGTGGTCTTTTCAAGTCAATGAAATATGGGACCCTCACTGAAACACATAAAAAGAGTAAAATATCAAATACTTAAGCTTAAGTTCCTTTTTACTGCAACTCAATACTGCCAAACAGTGCATTTCAACCCACTATCTAAACCAACACCAACAGAGGACTGTACACAGCTCTGTCCCACCAAAAAGACCTCTTTTCCTGTAGGTGACAATGGTGCAACTTGTTACAGCCTTTAGAAGTGGGCTAGCATCAACGAAACAAAATGAGTGCTCACGAGGGCACTAACAGGCACGATTAAATGAAACGAGTTGAAGAAAAACAAGAAAGAGCTTTTCCTGATTTGTATTTAATGCTCTATCCAGTCTAGTTTTGAAATCTTACAATATGTGGCATCAATCCATGAACTTGAACTGGCAAGAGATTGGGTTAGATGTTCACATACTTTATATCAGCGGTTCCCAATCTGTGGTACAGGTACCACCAGTGGTACGCAGATAACCTGTCAGTAGTATGGGTTAACAGATTTATTATAATTACTTTATATGACAAAAATTTGCAGGTGGTACTTAAGGTTGTATCATTTTAAATTGGTGGTGCACAAGCTGCCAGAGTTTAGGAACTCCTGCTTTATATGGAACCATACACATACCAGTAACTTAAGATAAACCAACATTTATCTGAACTTGCAGGATTTTGTTTCAGCTTGCTAGGGACGTAAGCAGGAGTGTAGACAGGTGTTTTCTAATATCTACCTTCTCCCTATGTTTTCATAAATAATCAAAATTAAAAAACTGTCTTTTTACATGTAATCTACACCTTCCCCTCCAAAACCAGCTGTGGAAAAATGTGCATTATATGTGAGGAAAAGGGATCCCCAAGGGTCCATAATTTTATTGGGGGGGGGGCATGCTGGGGCAGCCATG